AACATAATTACTGGCTCGCCTGCCCGTCAGTTACTTCGTACTAACCACGGTGACAATAAATAGTTCTAACGAATAGTGTTTTAACCAAGGCTATAGAACCGGTCTTTAACCACTTTAACTATTGACAACAAACCTTCGGTTATAGGAGAATGGTTAGCCGTTTGTTTACATCGGTGGCCTTGAAAGATGACGTCAGCGGGTGTCTACCAATCTTCGCCAATATTTATCTTCGAGGATTTTATCCTCTAAGGCAGTTTGATATTAAACTTTTGGGCTCCCTTAGAGCATAAAAAAGATTATTTACTGCACAGCAATGTCTTAAAAATCGACAAAACATTGACACCCCGTGACATCATCTGTCTCCTGAGCCCTCCTTACATGACCTGCCGGCTCTGATTTCGCTCAGTTTTCACGGTGAAAAAAATCTAGGCCTAAGGCACGTGCTCTCTGCTCGGCAGCGGCCGCGGCCCAAAATGTCGCAAAGATGCGCTCGCCACGTGCAAACCGCTGAACGCACCCCTTCGAAAAGCTGATATGACAAATGGTTGCATGCGTCCGGCTTAGTGCGAAAATTTCACCCTCGTAGCCCGCACCGTCGCCGAGCAATAGCCCGCGAAAGGGAACTGAATCTTGCGCGGTCGGCGTCAACAGCGGCAGAAAAAGCTCCCACGATCCAACTTTTCCGCCACTAAATTAAGAGCGTAAAGTAAGCGATGAAAAGATGAACATGCCGAAACACGTTGTCGGCGGCTGGGCCGTTTCGGCGGCTGCAGATTCTGCTCCTACCATTGCCTCTGTAGTTAATTCTGCCAGTAAGCGCTTATTTTCGGCGGATAAAAGTGCAGTGGACGGCGACCTTTAGCTGTGTCAAACTCTTACTTTCTGTTCAACAGTAAACTGTACAGACAGACTGATGGTGTGGCAGTGGGTATGGGTCTACCCTTAGGTCCAACGTTTGCTAACATCTTCCTGTGTTTCCATGAGAAAAAAATGGTTAAGTACGTGCCCGTCAGAATTTCGTCCATCATACTATACTCTGCTCCGTTTCAAGTTTGCAGCCGAAGTGCCCTGCTGAAGGCAGTGCGTGATTTCTGTATATACAGCTCTTGCATTTTAAGACGCAAATTCGAGCGGAGGAGCGATCTGCCGAAGAAACTCGGACTGCAAGCTTTATATGGAACAGACCATACAAGAGGTATGTGGATGATTGCTTTTTGATTTTCAATGACATTTCACATGTGGATAAGTTCCTCGATTTTTTGAATGGTCACTGGTCAACATCCAAAAATAAAAATGAAGTTTACCAAGGAGGTCGAATCAGACGGCTCACTTCCTTTTTTGGATGTCCGGATAAGACGATCTGGCAACTCGCTAGAAACATCCGTTTATCGCAAACCATCATACACTGGCCTCGGTCTTAGTTTTTTTTTTAGCTACATCCCTCTCTATTAAGAAAGCCATCCTAAACACTGCCATCTATCGTGCCTACAACATTAGCTCGTCTTTCAAACTTTTTGATATGGAGATCAGCTTCCTCCGTAAGTTCTTTATAGAAAATGGCTACACAAATGCTCTTATTGACTCAGCGATTTCCAAGTTTTTGAACAAACGGTTTACGCCCAAGGTCTCGACGTACCACGTAGAAAAGCTTGAAAAATATTATGTTTTTCCCCATTTCGGGAAACAGTCGCTAAAACTAAAAGAAGCAGTAGAATCACTTCTAAAAAAGTACTATCCCTACATGAACCCCAGGCTGGTGCTACGCAACAAACTAAGCATAGGCTCCCTGTTTCGGTTCAAAGACGTTGTCCCTAAGGCTTGCCGCTCTAGTGTCATTTATAAATTCAGTTGCCCCTCGTGTGAGGGGACTTTCATAGGATCCACCTATGTAAGATTATGCACTAGAGTATGCCAGCATCAAGGAAAGTCCGACAGAACTGGAACCCATTTATCTTGTCCCGTCGCATCCTCAGTAAGGGACCACTCCTTAGCTTGTGACACTCCTTTCTCATTAGATGACTTTCAAATTATTGACATGGAAAGGTCTACACCTTTTTTCCTTCGTTGTAGCTCAATTTGAAAAAGATGTAAATCAATTTGAAAAAGATGAATTTCAATTTGAAAAAGATAAAATTCAATTTGAAATGAACAAAATTCAAGTTCAAAAAGCTGAAATTCAATTTGAAACAGATAAAGTTCAATTTGAAAAGAAACCATGTTGAGTAACTTAGTAGGGGAAGGTGCCCAAATTGCGCCATGCTTAACTTAATGAGCTATTACTCGTAAAGGGATGGATGGAGAGCCGGTTAACGTCTTCTAATGCGTAATTTGATTAATTTGATATACAAAATGCCCTTACCACACTTCTTAGTACTTACTTGCATGCCTCTATGCATTAGGTACCACGTAACGAAACGAGCGAATGTTTGGTATCTGTATTGATGCCATGACACAGAGATCGGAATGAATGGTCAGGTAATCGACCAGATAATCGACTCTGCCAGCGGACAGCAGTCGGACCCGCTGCGACCCGGCCACGGGCACACATCTCAAAGCTGAAAACAGTGCAGCGGTGCGGCAGAGCCGCAGCTTAAGCAGGGACATCTTAAACGCCCATCGGGAGGTTGCGTTCCTCGAGGCACCCAGCGAAGTACGTCTGCACATGATTGCATGCCCTGAGGCACATCCGCTGGGTAACTGAAGCCATGGCGATGTCAATCTTCTGCTCCAAGTGCCTCAGCCGATGTTCTGACTGCGTCAATTCTGGCTGCGTGTTGAGGGCCTCGTCCAGGTTTGCAGCCAGCTCCCGTTTCATGATAGCTTTGACGGCAGACCAGATGATTTCTATTGGGTTCATAGGGGCACTGTATGGCGCCAGCCGCAGCAGCTGTGCTCCAGCAAGCACCCCGTCTGCCTCGAAGACCTCTTCGAGAGTCGCGTGCACTGGTGCATTGTCGCACACGACAACTAGCTCATCGGGGTCTTCCGGGCAGCGCCTCAGGACCTCGCGCAGCCAGGCGGCACAGTCTTCCTTTTTGAATGAGCCTCGCCTCCTTTGCCAGTGAACAAGGCCGGTCTGCGTAATTGCACCAATAATGTGCACGTTTGGGCCCTTTGCTGTTGCCGCCTTAACACTGCAGCGTGTCCCGCGGCGTGAGCGTCCCTCCTGACGTCGTAAGAAGAGGTTGCAATTGGTCTCGTCGATGTACACTACGGTCTTCCCACTCCCAATCAGCTCCATGAGTCGCCTGGTAAATGCCGCTCTGCGGTCCTTGTTCACTGATGATGTCTCTGTTAAGAGAAGAAACGTTTGAAAATGTTACTAAATGATCAATACAACTCTGTGCCTTTTAATCAGGTTCATTCTCATCTTAAGTCCAACGAAATGTAATGCAATATAACTCAAAAAGTTTTGATCTGAGAAGTCTGATATTTTGCCAGGCGTCTTTGGGGCCTATGATTACCCCTAGGACCGATTTTCATTAAAATCTGAGAGATGAGGGTGACGGGCCTTGTACGATCTATCGTGGAATGCCCCAGCAGGCACTGCTGGGTGTTCCGTCCTACCCGGCGTTTTTTCTTGTCGGTTATTTTGACATGTCCCCTGAGCAGCCACCACCTAGATTTCTTGAATTTGAAATTCAGTCTTTGCACATATCAAAAGAGAAAGGATTGAGCATTCAGAAGCCTATAAACAAAATGAGTTACGAGAGCAGTGTAGCAAGATATGCGGCCTCAAACGTTGGCTGGTCCGTCTTACCCCAGCTTCCCCTACGGGCTATGGTTAATTTTGTCTGCATATTTTGCAAAGTTATTGTGTTTTTTTTTTTTTGTAAAAGTTGTCAAGTATGTCTGATTAAATATAAGTTATCTATGAAATTGTCTGAGCTCTTAGGAATAAAACGAGTGTTTTTACAATACCAAATACTAGTATATTAACCAGTATAATGCCTTTTGGGGCGACTAACGGAGCGAGCGAGAGGGTGGGCCTTGCACGTGCGAAATTGCGAGGGGGTACCTTCAACTGACTTGTGCACGGCACCCTACTAACCGGTCTCTAGCGATGTGCCAAATTTGGGCACAATTGGCCCAGCCGTTCTCGAGATCTGGAAGCGGCACCCTGCACGTGCGCACGTGCAAAATGGGTCCCAACTGACTTGTGCACGGCACCCTACTAACCGGTCCCTAACTGTGTACCAAATTTGAGCGCAATCGGCCGAGCCGTTCTCGAGATCTGGAAACGACCCCTGCACGTGCGCACGTGCAGCAGCGCCCCAACTCTGGCACATGGATATGCAGTGCCTAGTGGGTGTCTACCTACATGCCAACTTTCAGCGCAATCGGCCAAGTAGTTACCGAGATATTGCAACAATTACAAAACGGACACCTCTTCGTTTTGCACGTGGCACGTGCATAAGGGGTCACCCACATGCATCAGGAATAGTCCAATACTTGGTAGAAGGAATGAAGCTACCCTACAAAAATTACCCCGTGTAAATCGGTCAAGTGGTTGCTGAGATATAAGCCTCGCAAAAGCGTGACCACGGCCGGCCGGCCGGCCGGCCGCTCATACTCAGAAATTTCCGTTAATCTAAGGAAAGACTACGCTCGCTTCGCTCGCTCCGTAACTACTCAGGCTATCCAGATAAAAAGGGCGTTTTGTGCGTCGCTGCAGCTGGTGTGTCAGTTATTCAATATATAGCCTGACAACTAGTGCACCTACTGCTCCTTCTGCAGCTGGTGTATCCGTTGTCCAATATATATCCTGACGAATAGTGTACTGCTCCTTTCTTTCTAAAGTAAAATGCGTTTTTACATAAATGTGTCGGAAAAATTTAAGGTTAAAGTGGCTGCAGTAAAATGACAAATTTCCAATAAGATTTTCGTAAGAAATTAGGAATGTCATATTCTGCCCTAAAATGATTTAGCATACATATTGGCATGCGGCGATTTGCCGCGGCTGTGGCTGTGCCGGTGAGATTGTTGTGCGTGTTGGGCAGGCCGGAGCGGCTCGACGAGAGGCGCACTGACCGTGAGCGACGCGGCGGCTTCGGACGCGACTGGGAGCGGCCAGCCAGCAGCGGCTTCGGCCGGGAGCCGGGCCAGGGCGGCAGCGGCCGGCGGCGGCCGGAGCGGCCGGAGCGGCGCAGCCGGGCCGACGACCAGCCCGAGTGGTTCTCGGCCGGCCCCACCAGCCAGAACGACATGGTCGAACTGCACGGCTTCGGGGACGAGGGTGGCGCCGACCCGCCGACGGCCGCCGAGCCGGAGCACGGGCCGGCCGAGTGCAGCGCTCCCACCGCCCAGCACAAGCAGGAGAAGGTTTCATCCGGCCCAGGTACGAGTCTGCCGGCGCCCGGCGCTCAGCGCCACTCACCGCGCCTCCCAGCGCCACGCTCACTCAGCGCTCACTCAGCGCTCACTCACCGCGCGCCGCAGCCGACCAACTTATGAAAAGTTAATTTGAAGTTAAGTAATCATCAGGACAGTGATCTTCTTGAAGGACATATACCACTTTCTTGAAAGTAGTTTGCCATAGTTTTATGATTTTAATGCTAAAAAAAATGACTGAAAGGGAAATAATTAATGATTACCAAAGGACTTTTGAAAAGTATTTTTCATATAGGAAGATCTATTTATCCGGAAATAGTTTTGCAGCGGAGGCTAATTGACCAATCATATTGCGTAGTTCAAAAGACGCTGACCTCTGCGACAGGTGAATGTGGGAAATACTCAACAGTTGTATAAATAAGAATCCTAGAAAATCTGAAGTATCTACTGCTTTCAGTGATACGCATGGAAATCCCATTGAAGACACCAAACAAGTAGCTCACTTATTTAACAATTTTTTCATATCAATTGGTGAGAAGCTACAAAAAGAAATCCCAAATACTGTGATGATGCCCCCTGGGGGTCCGGAAGCGGTGGGGAGTATGTTTCAAAAAAAATATTGTTTAATAAAATTTCGTTCATCGGGGGTGTTTTTCTTTCCGAGATGGTTGCCGACCTGCGCCATCCTCTGGAACAACTTCAGGTGAGTGGTTTAGGCTGGTAATTCCACAAATTGTTGATTAACTAGTTGACTCTCTTGCTGTTTGATTTTTTTCTTGTTCAAACGTAATTACACACCCATTTCCAGTGATGATCGGTCCGTTGGTTTCAAGCTGACCGATTCCTTTCCGCCACCGTTCCTTGCGCCTGGGGCTCGTCACAAACAATATTTATAATGAGGCTGGCTTGTCGCTTGTCAACATATAGTCTTCACTGCCTAGGATGGTATCTGTCTCATAAGGAATTTAGGACACGGAAGTCTCCCCAAAGCATATAATTTTGATGTCTCCCTTGAGGACATAACCTGAAGCCACCATCTAATACCTGATAGCTACCCACCATTCTCTCTCCCTTTCTTATGCCTATCATCCCAAAGATAATCGAGTACATCCCTATTTAATGTCGCCCTCAATACTGAGATTAGATCTCCCGCTGGTCCTTACACTATATGACGCATACCTCAATCTCCCTCCGACTCACTCTCTTTGTCATACCTCTCTCATCCCACTACAATAAATTTGACCCCGCGTTGACCTCTCAGTCCCTCCCAGCAATTGTTCTAACTCCCTCCAGCGGTACATATCAGGGACAATAAACGCAATTTGTTCAGTAGACTCCGTGATTAGTGTAAATTTCATCTTAGCTTACTCTTACCTCCCAACGACTTATCGCGCCCCATTCCAACATTGGAATCGTGTGTGCTCTTCCTAGCACCTCTTGGGCTCCCTGGCCCAATATCCTCGAACACCTACATCACTTGACCCTGATTACTTGTCTAAAGGTGCAACGCAGGTAGCGATTACATTATTAGCGTTCGTCAATGGGTGTGATTGGTTCAATCAATCTCTGCCGGCCCACTCTCTTCGAACACCTACATCATTTGACCCCGATTACTTGTCTAAAGATCGACGCGGGTAGCGTCAGTTATTAGCGTTCCTCGGTGGCTTATGATTGGTCCGTCAACCTCTGTCGCTCACGGCACATCTCTGTTTCCCTACTAAAACCCCGCGGCCGGACGTTGGTTACTGACCCTTGCAGCCCTTCTGTGAGAGACCGTCTTACGCGTTTTCACCTAACGAACCGGTGGACACAATCCTGCTACCCCGACGACCGCAGTCTCACCGGGCTCATAGACAGGTACCTACTGAGTACTCTCATGCAGTCATGGCACCCGCAAGTGGCGCCTTTGAATCATTGACCGGTGTGATTCGAAAGACTCCATGACTGAATCTATCCTGCAATTTTATCCGACGCCGTGGAATTCTGTCCTGCAGATGTGTGTTCAAGCGCGTTAGCGTCATGAGTAATGCGTGCTGCGATCATTCCGACGGTGGACTTAATCACTTACCTTATCCCGATTCCCGGCGGTATTACTCCTCGCCTCAACCTCTATCATTTTCGTATTTGTCACTCACCTCGGGCGGCGTGCTCTATCGCTCTGTCTCTCTCTCTGACTCACCTCTCAGCTTGGGCGTCTTATGGCGTTCTTCGTTCTGATATCTGCCTAACATACTTACTTCTTCCGTAACGTGAGACAGTTCCAATCCTAGTAGGCTTAGACGTATCAGCAGGGTCAAAAACACATGAAAGTGTTGCAACATACCTCCTCTTCGGCTAGCATCCATCCTTAGATCTGTTCCTCCTTGGGTAATTCCGGTTTCAATATCTATCGACTACTTCAGAGTCACTCCTTCTGTATCTCCTTACCTGTCTGATCCGTAGAATCCCTTCAGTCCATGTGCGCACCGCTGCGCGGTACGGGTCAATTGTTACCCGCGACATGAAAAAAAAAGTCATTTGATAGAGAAATCTGCGCCGCCAAATACTCAGACCATCTACTACTCCTTTCATCTACACGATATTTACGCCTATCATCCGAAACGTCTCCACCGTAGCTTTCTATATTCACTCAGTGACGTCATATTCCAGGAAACAGACTGTGTTTACACTTGTTGATCAGTAATGACGTCATAAGATCGTGTCGTCGGCGGGTTGGTACATCCTGACTTTTCATCGTCTAACCTTGGACACGCCAACTTTTGGTCGGAATTTCAACTTGACTCTCTTGGGTGTTCCACGCAGGCCCATGTCACTCCACTTTTGATGACATCATATGGGGGCCTCAGGACAATAATGGCGCGGCGCGCCACAATCGCTTCAGAGCTACTAGCCAACAGTTGCCGTTTTTGAAAATATTATTTTGAAATAAAGTTCCAAGTATTAAAAATATTGTAATAAAGTTGTTAAATAAATCGATACCATATCTAAAAACTTCCTGAAAAATGATTTATTCATAGTAAAAATATAAGCTCGATGCGTTTTTACGTTGCTTTCCTGCAACTGCAGAGGGTTTTGAAATCGTCTTTATCTTCAAAACCGGCCATTTCTTAGCATATTGCCGCTCTTTTTTATCGCTAGAAAATTAGTTGGACTTTCCAATGACATCAATGGTTGAGCGATGTGTGTAGAGTGTCACCAACAATCTTCAAATGAAGTTAGTCATTTTTACGTTGTAAAGGAATGGAGTACCCCTTTCGAGCATCAGGGGTGACGTCACTCAGGATCTGTCTCTGATTGGTCGGCGGGGGAGTGACTGTACCTTCTATAGATGGCCTTGGTTCCACGTGGTTTCAATGAAGCAATTCTCGGTAGTGCCCAATCATTTGTGATCATGAATATTTTTTATGTGGATTGTTGTCTGGCGTCCCTCGCCACGCTGTCGCAACTTTCTCTGGGGTCGTAAGTATTTGCATCAAGGGAACTCTAAGGTAGTGCGCCGGATTAGTCTCAATTTGGCATTTCGGTTTTAAAGACAATCCAAATCATGTGATTTCATGTTATGCCACTGAACCGATTTTTAGAATCAATTTCATAATGCAGACTTTTATTGACATACTGGTCTAGATAATTTATTTAACTTGCAATTGACAATCGACTTGTGGTGTTCTAATTTAAGGGAGCTCGGTTTACCGATTACTATGTTGTTGAAGGTGTACAAATTTTGGCCAATGTGATATCCAATTATCTGAGTGGGAACATCAGCAATGAGAAGTGGTTATATCAAATCAGGGGGGGGGGGCTGTGTCCAGTCATGAGGACATGTTAAACTTTAAGACAAAATTATGCCATACAACTGGTATTGCGTGGTCGGGTGGCAGGTCGGTTCAGCACAACAAGCTATGCTTAGTGCGAGCTCTGATTTCACAAATCTGCCCCTTCAACCATTCAGAATAAATTTATAAAAAAAAAATGGCAAGAGCAGTAACTTTTAAGAAGCTAATGGGAACTGGCCATTGGAGAGTGGTGCTAATTTCAAACTAAATTAATGGCTCAACAAAGACTCAGACTGGTATATCTTCATTGTATCTCTTTCGTCACCCGTCAAAGATTGTAGTCACTGATGCCTTATGATTTTCAATTCTAAGATACCCCTTTTTAAGTGAAACCACACTGGTCCGAAACTGCGGTGCTAGCATCCCAGGCCAGATATGAGATCAGTTGTGACTTGAGACTGAGAGGTCAATGGTCATTAGCATTGAAATTCCATGTTCAATAGAAACGGATGAAACAACCTTGGATGCGACTGGGAATAGTCTGACTTGAATTGTTGTATGTTACTGATTTACCATCTGAATTCATTAATTTCAGCGTGTCCCTCCAAAACTTTGTAAGTATAGTTGTCAGTAGCTTTCACACCACGCATGACATGAGATGAATGTCCTCCTAGCTTGGGTGGCAATGACCCTTGACATATTGTAGTACCTGTTCGTTAGGGAATGACACTAGAAAGGTGACTGGGGTTGGTGCAATTTCCTCATAAGTCCCTGGTGCTTGTTCAATTGAATCTAACACCATCTGACTCAGCCATGGTCTTTTCTTTCTTTGAATTTCTAAGTTTTAGTGATACACGCTCAATCATAACACAATTAATTCTTCATTCCTGCCTTTAGCCTATAATTGTCTGCTAATCTGATTTGGTGGCATGCCTTGCAATGCAGAGTTTGAGTTCGACTGACATAGGTAACCAGTTTCTCCCTGAATTAGACCAGGGTTATAGGGTTGTTCACCAAAATTTCCTAAAATTTGATCGTATGTTACTCTGCTCCCTCTTTCTCCCCTTTAACCACCCGCAATTGTGTCCGTCATTTTTCACTGAAGTCAGGATGGGTCAATAGTTGAATTAGGTATTCGTCCAGCTATCTTAACATATTAATTGTTTCTCTCAGCAGGTCCATATTCGTGTACTGCCCGCGGTTCAGCTGAGCTGAGGACTTCATGGGCCCGTGC